CCCCCTCCCCCTCCACCCCCCAGTCAAGCTCCCATCATTTATATATAAGAAGATTAACTAAGTAGTACTGTAATAGGGGTTCAGAGGATGGGGAAACCCCGAATATGGAGGGCAAAGCTCTCCATGCACCCCTCCAGTAAGTATGTCCTGTGCTCGCGTGGCTGTGTATAGGTTGGGTCACTTGGGTGCCTACAGCTTTCCTCTGTTTCCCACGCTCTCCCAGGTTTCCCAACCAATGGTCCCAAGTTGGGTAATCGTGCCTGTTCGAAAGCTCCCAAGCACTGGTACCAAGTTGGGCAACCCTGGTTTACTTGACCTGTTCCCAAGCTCCCAGGCACTGTTTCCAAGCTGTGGGTAAATCTGGTTAGCCGATCTGTTCCCAAGCTCCCAAGAACGTGGTCCCAAGTGGGTTAAAACTTAAAAGTTAAAACACTAGTACCTCCGCCAGTGTTGGGAAAATAGGGAAAAGTGGCAGTTTTCCGAAACTCCTCAAAATTCGGAGGCCGGGCCCGACGACGGCTGCCATTGATAAATCTGATCAGCGGCCGTCGTTTCGTTTCGGCCGCCTCCTAAAAGGTCGGAGGCCCACCCGAGGCCCACTATTTTCCCACTCGGCAAAGGTACTACCGTCTTCCCCCGAACACAACGCACCCTCATTTTGGCTGTATCTGGCTGGAAATATAGCTTGCATACATTCATTTTTAGGGAGCGTTATGTTCGGGGGAAGACGGTAGTGGTTTAAGCCTGGTTAGCTGCCTCTTTCCCAAGCTCCGTAGGTTGTAAGCCTGGTTAGCTGCCTCTTTCCCAAGCTCCGTAGCGTTGGTCCCACGTTCGATATCACAATGGACCAAAAAGAACTGCTCCCATCAATCAATGCTCTTTGGGTGATGAATGATTCATCATGCCATTAGGTCAAAAACTTTAGGTGCAACCCTGGTTAGCTGGCCCGTTCCCACGCTCCCAAGCACTGATCCGACATTGGGTAACCCTGGTTTAGCTGTCCTGTTCCCAAGCTCCCAAGCAATGTTCCCAAGTTGGCAAACCCTGGTTAGCTGGCCCGTTCCCAAGCTCCCAAGCACTGATCCCTCGTTGGGTATCCCTGGTTTAGCTGTCCTGTTCCCAAGCCCCCAATCAATGATCCCAAGTTGGGAATCCCGGTTAGCTGACCTGTTCCCAAGCCCCCAAGCAATGGTCCAAACCCTGGTTAGCCTACACGTTCCTTCCCACACTCTCCCAGGAAAGATAGTTCCATTGCAAATGTTCCGAGGGGTTTGCAACTTTGATCTGCTTTGAAGTGCTTTCTAATTTCAATCTGTGTGGCAGAGTTCGAAATTCCACTGTGGTCAAACGTAAGCTTGCTTGTTTCAGCATGTCTATTTCTGTAATAACAAACTCCTTTTTTTCTCTACTCTTTTTGAAAGTGTCTTTTTTTTAATTATTATTATTATTTTTATTTTTTTTTGTGTGTGTGTGTGGGGGGGGG